CATATATATATATATCCGTCATGACAAGAGTGTACCTTGAAGTGGTGTACTGGTTTATGCACCTCTGACCCAACGAGCTACACGGGTTGGTTTTATCATGCCTGGAAGGTAAGACAGAGATCAGTCTCCGGATCCTCCACGTCGGGGATTGGACTCGACTTGACGTCTCAGTCGGTGATATGGTAGAGGCGTAATCGGTTCAAGCAAATGAGCTTCTACCTTACTTTAATCGCTGCTTTGCGATCACCTTCTTGTTAGAACTACAGGCATTGGACGAGAACCCTAATCGTTCTTCTGTTTAGTGGCTGGACATCCTGGCAGTACGCGTCCATCAAATTCTATTGCATACGCGATCAAAAAATAATTCCATGCCGCATCGGTCGTCGCGCAGGATAATCAGAACCGAATCCACGATCCTAGTACTATAAGCCACTCAACTGCACCGGGCTGTCTTTGAGGTACTTCCTCTGTACGTCGGTGAAGACGGAGCCCGTTCAATAGGCCACCGTGGCATGGGCATCATACTCAACAGTACAATCGCGGCTGCGCTACTTGATCAGATCCCTGTCGACAGTCGCTTATGTGCGATGCGGATGCAAGGGTCTGCAGCGTCCGGGAAGGAAGCAACACCAAAAGGTGCTTGTTCATCATTTCAGGGTACGCACCGACCAACTGCAGTTCTGACACAAATGGACGAGTTTTATGATAAACTCACCGAACTCATTCGGTTGAGCGGAAGCTCCGATATAGTTGTTCTCGTAGGCAATTTTAACGCTCAAGTTGGAAAACAGCACATCGGAAGCTTGATTAGGCTGTCGCTGTGCTCTACCTTGCCAGCGAACAGATAGCGGCAATCAACTTCTTCAGTCCTGCGCAGATCAGCATCTGTTCTTATCCAGTACCAACTTCCGACACAGCTCTCAACGTGGCGCTCCAATTCAAGTGATACGCTAATTCAGATCGACCACATAGCAGTAAGCTAACGTTGGCGTGGCTCAGTCCAAAACTAAAGGTCCTATTGGACTACATGCAATGAATCTGATCACGCATTGGTTTTGATGCAGTTCACTCTCCAACTCACTGGTCGCAGAAGATCCCACCAATCTCGATCGGCAGATCATCGTTTATCTGACCCAACCGTTCGCACCCGTTTTGAATCATAACTAGGACAAGAGCTAAACGCGTTGCAGCGTAGTAATGTAAATGAACAATGGGATCGGATTAGACGAGCAATGCAACCCACAGCGAGGGTTGCTTGTGGATCTGAAGTGGTAGCCCGTCCGAGCCATTAGGTAATTCAAGTTTGTACAACCATTAACCATGCACTTTTGTGCGCCGGATTTGGTTACTGTCTTTTAGCTGCCCATTTGGATGAGCAATAGAAGAAAGACAAGAGGTTGAAAACAGGATCATAGAGAAACTTGGGAATTTCGGTAGACTAATGTTGCAAGCAATTGGGAAGATGCAAGAACGCCACTGCTGACGATTCCCGGTCGTATCACTCGTCTCTGACTATTGATTACGTTGATCCCGCGGTCCTCAGCTAGAGAGCCTAACAAGACCTATGTGACCCAGACTCTTGGTTAGGGTTTTCACACCCTCATGCCAGGTCTTAGCTTGACCGCCCTTCATTTTTTCCAACCTCTACCTGCCTCGCCAAACATCGCTCGCCGTGGCAACCTATCTGGTGACATGCGTAGCACATGTCCCAACCAACGTAATCTAT